GAAACCCAAGGACCGTAGTCAGAGGAGTGCGGAACGGGAGAGATGTGATAAACAGTGTCCTGAGATGCTGTGTAGCTATACAGGTTTAACACTTGATTTTCATAATTACCTAATGTGGAATGTTTAATCCAAGTAGGAATGTAGAGTGCACGAGGAAGACTGACAAACTCCAGGAGTGGGCAGACAACTGACTGTTGGTCACCCACACGTGCAAGGTATTGGGGATGGGCGAGGGTTATAGGAGCCTCGAGGACTCTGCCTATAAATGTCAGCAACGACTGGAATCGAACGGAGAAAGACTTCAAAGTGGATATATTTTCGGCACTAACATCAGACACACACTAATGGGATAACATCGGCAGTATATAGGAAGCTGGTAAACATTACATCAGAATATAAAAACCAAAAGACTCAAGACAATCTACGCAACCTATGCGAGACCAATACTACAATATGCAGCACTGGAATGGAATGTTAACTTCATTAAACACAAAACTACACTAGGAAAAGTGCAGAGGTTTGCAACAAAACTGGTTTCTGAATTAAAAGAACTAATCAATGAGTACTTGTTAAGGAAACTCTTACTGCCTCCAAATGGAGAGAAGAAACAGACGAGATATAATCATTGCATACGAAATATCAAAGGAAATGACAAAGAACGGCCTCTTTAAAAGTGAGAGAAAATAGGACACGAGAACATAGGTGGAAGTTGAAAACGGGAACGATTAAAAAAATAAAGCATACTCCGTACGGGTAGTGGGCAAGTGGACTGCTCTTGAAAAGTCGTGGAAGCCAATTATTCTTAAAACTTCAAAAGCAGATACGACACAAAAGAGATTGAAAAACAGCACAAGGTACAAAAGATTAAGAGAGCGAGTATAGAGAACTTGACGTGTCCTCCACCCGGGGTCTAATGACGCCGCCGCCACCCAAGCCCCACTCAGTTTTTTTTTATACATCTATAAGCAAATGAGAACATCTAGAAAATTTAGTATTTTATTTACGTATAAAATCATCAAAAGGCGGGACGAGGAGCTGGCGCTCGACACTGCCCCGGCACGTGAAGGGGAGCGCTGATAACGTGGCAGCACTAATACCACTCACTATGTAAGGTATTCTTGAGTAAATCTGAACACGCAAGACCAACCCAAGGAGAGCCAAGGTCGGCCACTAGTCGTGCACGCTCGCGTACACTCCCTCGCACACTCGCGTGCACTCCCTCGCTCGCTGACGGATGCTAGCATTCGCTCGCTGACGGATGCTAGCATTCACTCGCTGACGGATGCTAGCATTCACTCGCTGACGGATGCTAGCATTCACTCGCTGACGGATGCTAGCATTCACTCGCTGACGGATGCTAGCATTCACTCGCTCACGGATGCTAGCATTCACTCGCTCACGGATGCTAGCATTCACTCGCACGCACGCAAAGCAGCCTTGGTTTGTTTTTTAGCTTAACGCCTATCAATTTGTAAAAGATTATTAAGGCGACAAACACACCAGGTTACTGACCACAACCAGCAAGTATAGTTTACTGCTGGACATAGTGCAGGAGTGAAGTGTACACAGTGTATACATCCCAGTGTTCCGTCCCTGATGCACTTCACTCGTCGCACACAGGTATGTCAATGACGAGTTAATCTATACAATAAGAAAGAATGTCTGTCAAAAATTAGAGGCCAGACGCCTGGGGCTTAGCCGGCCTCGCCTAAATTGGCAGGTGGGAATGGTCTGGGGTCTGGGACGGACATAGGCTGGTTGGTGTCACTCGTGTCACGGAATTAAAAAAGGAACAGCGTGCCAGTGTCACATTCTGACTCCCACGACCACTTTTGGCACTGCTCGCCGGTTACACTTATTGATATTTTGAAAACTAAAATTTGAAAACAATTTTTGTAATAGATACATACACCATTATTCACTGATCTTGGGAAAATTAACATTTTCGTATCCTTACTTTGGTGGTAATAACAAATAATCCTCGCACACCTTGCAAGACTTTCTCAAGCCCCGCCTCTTTTTCAAAGCAAATGGATAACTATTCCATTTTTCAAATATTTCATACCGCTAAGCTCCTCCCACCCACGTGGTGACGGTAGACAATTTAATTATTTTTTATAGAAAAAAAGAAAGGAAGGGGGGGGGGGAGTGAACAAGCATGCAGACCTAGGCAGCGCCGGGTATTCCCCCCCTAAACTCTTTATGTGCACGCACGCACGCACACGCTGGAACACACCGTATATAAACTACACTACACACCAGCACTCATACAAGCTCACGGTGACCATTCGTACATATCGACTCGCTGCACAAGGTATGAACATTAAACCAACAACGCCTCACATAACTGGACAATGTAAGATAACCTTCATAATCTTAAAGTGTCATTATATAAACATTATAAGACTAACTTTGGATGTAAGGGTGAGTTATTATGATTAAAATATGAATACAACAAAAATAAACAAAAACGCAATGCAATATTAATTTGTTCAAAAGTGGAGGGCAGCCCAGCCAACACGGGAGTAAGAATGCATTATAAGTTTAGTTGGGTCTTACCTGTAGTTATGGTACCATTAACATTCCTGGTTCAATACCTGGTAGAGTGAAGAGTGCGTTCCCGCATGCGTGTTCCAGAGAGATACAGGAGCCTCTTAGTGTGTTGAATGAGTGCGTGGTACAGAACAGTCTTTACCAGGACACAATGTAAGGGTACAGTAACACCACATGTATATTAGTGCTAGAGACGCATTCATGATTGGAATACACCGAGTTAGGTAACATGCAAACAAGTCATACACATTATGAATAACATACTATACACGAACTTAGATTACAGGCAAAGACGACCCATCATGAATGACATACAGAATATTAGATTACAGGCAAACAAGTCATACACATCATGAATAAAGTACAGAAAATTAGGTTAGAGGCAAGTTACACTGTTTTTACACTGACATGTCACAACAACATGAAGAGCTGGAACACTGAGTGTGTACACACGTTGGACGCTGCTCTTCACCACACTCTCCTCACAACCATTCACTGTGACAACCGCCAGTAATCAAAGCAAATGGAAAAGTGTTTAGCGAGCACTGTCTTTAAATTAGTCTCTTTCAAGATGCCAAGTGAAGATTTAGCAGTTTGTAAAAAAAAAGTTAATGGTCATTGCTACGGATAATTCAATATATTTTGAGTTAAGACGCACTTGTTGCTGTTCTGAAAGGAGGGGGGGGGGCAGGTTTCGATGCCCTGAGATGAGCTATGTGCCAGAGTAGTGGCTGACAACGCTACAGATCGTCCAGACATTTTTGTCATTACTGCCGCTGCTAACAACCATTTGGCAGTGTACAAAAAAACAAATTTATCATTTAATACCACTACAAGTTAAATGAACTACGTTCTCAATATGAACTATTGGTTTCTACTTCTAAATGAACTACAACAACAAGAGGCAGTCATAAATGCCACCTGTTGTTACTACAGTTTTGGTACTTGCCTCGCTGGGGTCAAAATGTATCTTCTGCTGGCGTTTGTTACGTAGAGCAACTGCTACAGCAGCCATAGCAGGGGCGTGGGTCGGGGCGGCGTCACCAGCCTTCTACCATCACCCTCTGCCTCGCCTCCACCAGAACAACACTCCTCTCCCACTTACAAATGACCTCCTTTATATACTAGTGATTTTGAGTCGAGTCGGAGAGTAGTTAAGTGTGGCTGTGGCCATTTCCTGACCAAACACAAATATCTTTGATTCACTCATCATAACACTGTTTTCTTTTTCCCTTCACAGCATTTATCTATCACGTAGTTTTAAACTCTTGTCAGCTTACCAAAGTCACTCGGGAAATAACTTTAAAAGGTTATAATTTCTTAGTAAACAATGATCGTAGCTTCAGTACACCACGTGAGCGTTCATGTTAAAAATTAGTAAACATCTGAAACATTGATCAAAAATTATGTTCTTGTTTTCTTATATATATAAAATATAAAAAGTGGCGTCCACAGTGACGCCCATATGTGGTTTTGGGAAGAGTTGGTGTATGATGTATAATGCAGTATTATTGGCCATTTATACAATATTCTGACTACGGTTACAGTGAACGTTAATTAACATGATGATAATTATCGTCTTACTATTACTTTGTAAGGTTATTCATGTGTTAATTCGTTATGTTACTGCACATGAAGAGTGACTATTACTATATTAAAAAAAGTGCAACACAATATTTCCAGTTGGGCGGCCATGTTTGGTTACACCATTAATCACCCAACAGATATTCATTTCCTTGCTACTTATATAGCCACAACAAGCAAAATTAGAACAATTGCAATTTGAAAGTTCTTACGTTTACGTTCGCTTGAATAAATTAAAAGACCAGTTTTGTGTCGAATATCAAAGTGAACCAACGCTTTGAGCAAGAATGCAGGTCAGTGGCAACCACAATATTAACTATATTGCTTCAAATACATATGAACACAGTTTAATGGCTTTGGACACAGTTCTCAATGCAATTATAGACTGTCGACTCCTGCTGTCAAAATAATGTCTTGTGGGGAGGGGGGTTTAGTAAGTCCTGGTGTGAATGTTGGGGAGAGTAGTACTAGTGTGGGGTAGTAAGTCCTGGTGTGAATGTTGGGGAGAGTAGTGGTAGTGTTGTGGTAGTAAGTCCTGGTGTGAGTGTTGGGGAGAGTAGTGGTAGTGTGGATGAAAACAAGTAGTGTGGGGGAGCGTCCCCACAGGCGAGCAGCGTAACAAGACAGGACGGGTAAGCAGGACGTGGCCACTGGGACAGACAGGACGGTAGTGTGGAGCTGAGCGAGAAGTTGTGGACTACTGTGGTGGTGCCCATGACCACTGCCATGAGTGCGGGGGGGGGGGGGGAGAGGGGAGGGGGTGCCAAGCTGGTGTGGTAGAGTGCGTGAAGCGCCACACCTGTCCCCCCCAGAGTGCCTAGAGGGGGGCGGGGGGATTGGGTGTGGCAACGTCCACTTCCTACCTCCTGGTCAAAGGTCAGGTGACGGTTGGTCATGGCTGCCTGGCGGGATGGTGGGTGTCCCGCCGTCCTCAGGTGGGGCAAGAGGCGCTCCTGGATGTGGGCCCAGGTGTCGCGCCCCGTCAGGAGCCCCAACACCCCGCTCAGGAGGCCCCTGTGTCGCTTTGGAAACTCTGTCATCCCCTCCTGGAAAGGGGCGGCGGCGGCGTGTCCCACCGGGGGGGAGTGGACCACCCCTCCCTGCTGGAAGGGGGGACCGGGCCACCAGGAGGGGCCGGGCAGGGGTCCTTCTGCTACCTCCGTCAGGCTCTTGGTTTTCTGGAGGTCGTATGATGGCGGTATCTGTCCTGGCATGATGGCCACTTCTGGGGCGGCGTCGATGGCGTAGGCGCTGCCCTTGACCGGGGCGCTCTGGCTGGAGGAAACAGAGCTCTTCCGCTGCTGATGGCGCTGCGCGAAGCTCGTGTAGTTCTCCGGGTGTCGCTGCTGGTGATGGCTCCCAGGGCCCGCCACCGACGTCCGACGGACGCGTCGCCGACGATCCCGAATGGCGAGCGCGCCGTGACCGACGCCGTAGCGACCCATGTTGCCCTTCGCTCACAACCTTGCGTGTGCCGCCGCCTCACCTCACGCTCTCATCCCTTCGGGGACAGGTCCTCCGCCAAAGGCACGCTTAGTCTTCACGCTCCTGTCGTAAGCCACTCAACACCACACATTACGCGTCGGAGTTTACACTCCGACGCGTCGCCCGCAGCGACACTCGGGTGTGGCAACAGATGCCGGCGGGCGAGCCACACCCCCAGGCTTAAACATACCATGCGAATAATATGAATTTCTTTCCAGGTAAGCGCGACGGCCTGGGGGTAGTGTGACGCTAATCACCCTTAAGCGCTCATGACGGCAGCGCTGGAATTATTAGTGGCAGCTAAAAGTAAGTGATCCACATCTAGTTATATAAGGTTCTCCACTTTCTTTATCAGAGAAAATGTTGCAGGCCAGAGCGCCCCCCCCCCGAACCTGAAGGTGTGTGACAACAGCACATCTTCCCCTCCCGCTATTGGCTGCTCCCCCTCACTACGCCCCCCCTCTCTGCGCCCCCCCTCTGCGCGCCCCCCCTTCACAACGCCCCCCCCCCCTTCACAACGCCCCCCCCTTCACAACGTCCCCCCCTCACTGCGTGCTTCTTCCCAACCACTTAGCCTGAGAAAGATTCACCGCCGCAATTAAAAGCTTCGCTGACGTTATTAGGACGCCATATTGGATTGAGAAACGTACTGCTCCCGAGAGCTGAAGAGTAATGCCTTTATGCATTATAGGCCTCTCCAAGACGCCTTAATTGACATACACGTGCTTTATTGTCTATGAATATAATTACTTCAAATATTATTTAAGTAGAGTTAAATGAGGCCGTTATGAACTCATGAGGGACGATACATTTTGTCTTTTAATTCAAAAATTATAAAGGCCAGAGCAAATCTGACGATTAGGTATATATATATATATATATATATATATATATATATATATATATATATATATATATATATATATATATATATATATATATATATATATATATATATATTATTAAATATGACCGAAAAAGTAAGATTAATAATTCTAACACGAATTTTCTCAATCTTTCGTACATTTCTTTTCACTGTTGGAGGTAAATAAAAAATCAATTCTCCAAAATTCATTTTTATTTCTAGTCTGACGCGACACGAGCGCGTTTCGTAAAACTTATTACATTTTCAAAGACTTTAGAATTAATGCACAACTATATTCTACCCACCTCAAGACTCCGCTCCAATATAGAAGCATCAAGAAATATGGACCAATAGGCTTTCTACAAACTTCTATTCAATACCCATTGTTTCGTGTTCTGTCTTGTGTTGATGAAATTAATACCCTATTAATGCCACCTCTTGTTCTGTCTTGTGTTGATGAAATTATTACCCTATTAATGCCACCTCACCCCATCCACCTCACTAAAATGTAGATATAAAATCGGAGATGCGTAAGTTCTATTCAGTTGTGTATTTGTAAACTAAAGTCTTTGAAAATGTAGTAAGTTTTACGAAACGCGCTCGTGTCGCGTCAGACTAGAAATAAAAATGAATTTTGGAGAATTGATTTTTGATTTACCTCCAACAGTGAAAAGAAATGTACGAAAGATTGAGAAAATTCGTGTTAGAATTATTAATCTTACTTTTTCGGTCATATTTAATAATATATGTCTACAGGAAAGACTGCTACCAAAATATACTAATATATATATATATATATATATATATATATATATATATATATATATATATATATATATATATATATATATATATATATATATATATATATATATATATATATATATATATATATATATAATAATTTTTTTTTTTTTTTTCATGTTTCATTGAATATGACTGCATATTCTGTATTGACTATTTTCTTGTTTATGGCTTCTATCCCTCTGACTAGTGCTCATGCATCTTGGTTGAATTGGAAGAGGATTTCTCCGAATATCATCTAATTGGAAGAAAAATCCTCTTCCAACTAAACCAAGATGCAACTTTGACAAAAATGCAAATTTTTCAATATACTGGGCTTAATATTCTAATTAGAAGAGAAAGAAAAGATATTTGGAAAATGAATTCCAGAGTAGTCAGTCAGTTCTTGGAAGATCCTAGAGGCGTGACCTAGATTTGTTGGCTAGTTTGGGTAATGTGCCCTGGTGGTGTGGTGTGTTGTGCCCTGGTGGTGTGGTGTGTTGTGCCCTGGTGTGGTGTGGTGTATTGTGCCCTGGTGGTGTGGTGTATTGTGCCCTGGTGGTGTGTTGTGCCCTGGTGGTGTGGTGTGCCCTGGTGTGGTGTATTGTGCCCTGGTGTGGTGTGTTGTGCCCTAGTGTGGTGTGTTGTGCCCTAGTGTGGTGTGTTGTGCCCTGGTGTGGTGTGTTGTGCCCTGGTGTATTGTGCCCTGGTGGTGTGGTGTTATACAATGCATGGCCGTGGGAGATGTAGGTGTTAGTTGGGGGAGGGTAATGACTACTGTAAGTGGAGGATGGAGCCACGAAGGTGGAAATCAGGAGTGTGTTTGTGTGTGTGTGTGTGTGTGTGTGTGTGTGTGTGTGTGTGTGTGTGTGTGTGTGTGTGTGTGTGTGTGTGTGTGTGTGTGTGTGTGTGTGTGAGAAAGAGTGAGAGTCAGTCACGTCCCCCTCTCAACCCTCTCTTGTCTTCCAAGGGTAAAGCATTTCTTAATTTGCCAAGGTTTGACTTAATAAATGTTCAAGGTTAACATATCGCCGCCTCTTTCAGTCCTTGTATATATATTTTAGCGGCCCCTGTCACAGTGGCATACAAGTCATACTCGCCCTTAATTATCACAAGTCAATATACCAGTACAATCACGAGTGCACCAGTATACCAGTACACGAATACGCCAGTACACTAGTATACCAGTGCTCCTCTATACCAGTACATCAGTTAGTATACTAGAACACCAGCTCCCCCCCCCACCTATCATCAGCCCCCCCACCCATCAGTCACGCACACCGCCGGTGACGTCACTGGACATAATGACACTGACACACACACACACGCACACGCACACGCACACGCACACACGCACACACGCACACACGCACACACGCACGCACGCACGCAAGGGAGCCGAGCGGACAGCGCACTGTACACGTGATCCTGTGGTCCCGGGTTCGATCCCGGGCGCCGGCGAGAAACGATGAGCAGAGTTTCTTTCACCCTATGCCCCCGTTACTTAGCAGTAAATAGGTACCTGGGAGTTAGTCAGCTGTCACGGGCTGCTTCTTGGGGTGTTTGTGTGTGTGGGGTGGGGGAAAGTAGTAGTAGAAACAGTTCATTGACACTTGAGAGGCGGGCCGAAAGAACAGAACTCAACCCCCGCAAGCACAACTAGGTGAATATACACACACACACACACACACACACACACACACACACACACACACACACACACACACACACACAGACACACACACACAGACACACACACAGACACACACACAGACACACACACAGACACAGACACACACACAGACACAGACACACACAGACACACACACAGACACACACACACACACAGACACACACACACACACAGACACACACACACACACAGACACACACACACACAGACACACACACACACAGACACACACACACAGACAGACACACACACAGACAGACACACACACACACACACACACACACACACACACACACACACACACACACACACACACACACACAGGGGCCTGGTGGATAGCGCGCAGGATTCGTAATTCTGTGGCGCGGGTTCGATTCCCGCACGAGGCAGAAACAAATGGGCAAAGTTTCTTTCACCCTGAATGCCCCTGTTACCTAGCAGTAAATAGGTACCTGGGAGTTAGTCAGTTGTCACGGGCTGCTTCCTGGGGTGTGTGTGTGTGTGTGTGTGGGGAAAAAAAATAGTTAGTAAACAGTTGATTGACAGTTGAGAGGCGGGCCGAAAGAGCAAAGCTCAACCCCCGTAAAAACACAACTAGTAAACACACACACACACACACACACACACACACACACACACACACACACACACACACACACACACACACACACACACCACACACACCACACACACACCACACACACCCCACACACACACCACACACACACCACACACACACCACACACACACACACACACACACACACACACACACACCACACACACACACACACACACCACACACACACCACACACACACCACACACACACCACACACACACACACACACACACACACACACACCACACACACACCACACACACACACACACACACACACACACACACACACCACACACACACACCACACACACACACCACACACACACCACACACACACACCACACACACAACACACACACACACATACACACAGACACACACAACACACACACACACATACACACAGACACACACAACACACACACACACATACACACAGACACACACACACACAGACACTCCCTAAAGGGCCAAACAGCCGACACAAACAGCGAGAAAACTCGAATGTGGAAACTAAACCACGTTTTTGTAGTACTTGTTGGGCCTAGCTAGTACCGTCGGTTACATTCTCGACTCCCAATCCCGGAATCCCGGGTTCGAATCCAAAGCAGGACAGAAACGGTTGGGCACGTCTCATTTCATGTAATACCGGCGCTCATCTTTCAGTAAATAGGTACCCGGGAGTTAGTCAACTGTTGTGTGCTGCATCCCGGGGAGGGTCCGTGCTTCCTCATTGTCGCCAGCCTCGGTGTGTACACTCCCCGCACCCATGGTGGGGCAGGTGTGGGGAGTGTAGTGGGGCAGGTGTGGGGAGTGTGGTGGGGCAGGTGTGGGGAGTGTGGTGGGGCAGGTGTGGGGAGTGTGGTGGGGCAGGTGTGGGGAGTGTGGTGGGGCAGGTGTGGGGAGTGTAGTGGGGCAGGTGTGGGGAGTGTGGTGGGGCAGGTGTGGGGAGTGTGGTGGGGCAGGTGTGGGGAGTGTGGTGGGGCAGGTGTGGGGAGTGTGGTGGGGCAGGTGTGGGGAGTGTGGTGGGGCAGGTGTGGGGAGTGTGGTGGGGCAGGTGTGGGGAGTGTGGTGGGGCAGGTGTGGGGAGTGTCGTGGGGCGGGTGTGGGGAGTGTCGTGGGGCGGGTGTGGGGAGTGTCGTGGGGCAGGTGTGGGGAGAGTCGTGGGGCAGGTGTGGGGAGTGTCGTGGGGCAGGTGTGGGAGGCTGCAGGTGTGGGGAGTGTTGTAGGGCAGGCAACACGTCGCGTGACCCAAGAAGGATGAAATTTGTAAACGATAACACGACATGCGGACCCTCTCTACCCCCCCTGCTCCTCACCCTCCCCTCCCCTCCCTGCTCTTCCCTCCCCTCCCTGCTCTTCCCTCCCCCTCCCTGCTCTTCCCCCTCCTCTCCCTGCTCTTCC